GCAACTCGACTTGGTAGGAATTTCTTCTAAACCTCCGGGTAAATGAGATGATAAACTCCATAACAAACAAATGGAACCTAAATTCTATTTCCTTTATGGCCGGATAATGGTTGGTTTTTGGTGGCACTAATACAAAAATTGACTTGGAGAAGATTTAGATCTCAAAAAAATTACTCTCTCTTAGTCCTGCAAGCTAAACATAAAATAATTATAGAGTTGAGAAAAAACAAGAGAAACGACAAACTCCCACATCGATGTGACAATTATAGAGGGGAATCTTTGTAGTGCAATTACCACGTGTTGTCCAATAATATTCTCTTGCCTCTTGCCAAATTAACTAAGATTCTTTGAGATTCCCCTAGATTCTTTTTTTTTTCCTTTTTTTTGTAGAGTAAAATGGTATTTATTTTGAAAAAAAGAAGTAAAATGGTCTTTGCTTCCAAATAATTTTTCCATTTATTAGTAATAAAAAAATCAAACAAAAAAATCGGAATATTATATTTTCTTCCTTTAAAGCTTTACCCTCAAGAATGGGAACTATATAAATGCTTACCAAAGATTTCCAAAACCCAAAACTCACATAGAATCAACTCAAAATATTCTCTCTCTCTCTCTTTCAATGGCGCTTCTTCGCAGAGCCATCACGAAGCGTCTCATTGACGGTTATGGAACACAACACACGACTTTCAGACAAGTTTCAAACACCAAGATCCTGCGTCACTACATGACCACGTCCAATCTTACAGACCGGATCGGTGTCCGAATCGAGTCCGTTGCTCCTCCTCCGAGGCGAGAGGAAACGACGACTGTGAAGGGTTTAACAGTGAGCGAGACGAGGAAGTTGTTAAGGATTTATCAAATGGAGAAAGTGAAAGAGAGACTCAGAGAGATTTCGAAGAGCTCTGTTTCGTATTGGGAATTTGTTCAGATCTGTTGTGAGAGTTGTGGAAACGACGAGCAAGGTTCTTTCATGGCTAAATCTTTGGATCATTCTGGATGTGTCGTCGTTTTGGGAAACATCGTTTTCCTTCATCCTCATCAGGTAAAGATCTTTACTTTATGAAGACTTTACTTCATTTTTTTTAGTTATTTAGATTTTTGGTAGATACTAAATATAGCATGTAATACTATTTACATATACACACTAAAGAGTTTGGCTTAGAAAATTATTGTACTTGTTTTGGGTGCTTCAATAATTAATTAAAGATTTTCTTGATAATGTTTTTGTTAGCATTTTGCAAAATTACTATGATTTACTGAATTTTAAAAAATATTTTGAATAATTTTCAAAAAAATTATTTTGTATGGTTGATATTTATGGACTCCACGAATTTAAATTGAATATTCTAAAAAAAGTCGAAGTGCTTATGTATTTGTTAGTTTTTCTAAAAAATAAATAAATAAGAAAGGTTATATTTATATACTTGAAACTTTAGTTAGTCGGTGGTCCTATAACTAGAGAGATCTCAAATGAATGTTTCATTATTCCCTTAACATTTTGCTATTGTAATATTTTATTTTTTCTCAATACAATTTTTTTGCTGTCTTAATTTAGATAGTCAAGTCGATGGAAGCAATGATCAACCAAACAACAACACTCCCAAACGATCCAAGGAAAGAAGAGTTGGTTCAGCTTGAGATCACAAAGAAGTGTATTGACATTAAGGCACGACGCATAGTCAAGAACGAGTTATATTGCGGTCTCGGGTTCTTAGCTGCTCAAACCATTGGCTTTATGCGTCTAACCTTTTGGGAACTAAGCTGGGACGTAATGGAACCAATCTGTTTCTTTGTCACATCCCTTCATTTCATTGCCGGTTACTGTTTTTTCCTTAAGACTTCTACAGAACCATCATTCGAAGGATTTTATCAACAACGGTTCAAGGCCAAACAGAAAAAGCTTATGGAAAGCCACGGGTTTGATTTTTTGAGGTACACTCAGCTCAAGTCCTTGTTCACTCCGCTACCGAGTAAATCTCATGTTTCACCGGTCTAATATAATAGATTAAGTTTAGTAAGGATTCGAGCTAGAAGCATCCTCTCTTTGATCACTGCAGAATCTATATAGCGTGGCTTGGGAGATGAATTTGATCTTGAAATCTACAAATTATAAAGAAGTTAAGGAAGATTGTATAGATTTTAAAATTGGGTCTCGACTTGTATGTGTATCTTATATAATATTTTAAATTTTTCTCAAAACCAAAAGTCCAAAATCATGAGAGGGTACCATGTGTCATCTAATTTTTTAATATCTGACTTTTTAATTTATTTATTAAAAAATAAAAATTAAATGTCTTTTAATAATTTTATCAATTAGTTAATTCTTATGTAAAATAATTCTAACAAATTACATTTAAGTGTATTGTGCAC